CACACACACACCACACACACACACACGTAATTCAAGAAACCATTCCCGGGGCCCGCGCTGTTTCAAAACTGGTAAAGCCGCCGCCTGCAGTGCTGGCATCCCCCACGGGTGCTGGTTTGAGTCCAGGCTGTCCCACTTCCAATCAAGCTCTATGCTATGACCTGGAAAAGCAGTATAAGATGGCTAAAATCCTCGGGGCCCTGCATCCACACGGGAGACCAGAAGAAACCTGGATCCCAGCTTTGGACCGGCACAGCTCTGGCCACTGCAGCCCTTTGGGGAATGAACCAGCGTTCTCAATCTCTCTGCCTCTCTGTAATCCTCCCTTTCAAATGAATAAATCTTTTTTTTTTTAATTTTGTGACAGGCAGAGTGGACAGAGAGAGAGAGAGAGACAGAGAGAAAGGTCTTCCTTTGCCGTTGGTTCACCCTCCAATGGCTGCGGCCGGCGCGCTGCGGCCAGCACGCTGATCCGATGGCAGGAGCCAGGTATTATCCTGGTCTCCCATGGAGTGTAGGGCCCAAGTACTTTGGGCCATCCTCCACTGCACTCCATGGCCACAGCAGAGAGCTGGCCTGGAAGAGGGGCAACCAGGACGGAATCCGGCGCCCCGACCGGGACTAGAACCCAGTGTGCCAGCGCCACAAGGCGGAGGATTAGCCTAGTGAGCCGCGGCGCTGGCCAAAATGAAGAAAATTTTAACAACAAGGAAGCCATTCTTCAGGCATGTCCCCAAATATAGCTTCAGTCAATGAGTGACAAAAAGTTACAAACACTTATGCAAACACAGAGGCAGGACACATAAAGCTTCGTAAGCAAAAAATGAAACCAAGTACATTAGAAAGTTTATTGTACTTGTAAGAAAAATGCAGATCAAGTAGAAGTCAATATAAAAGCTTTATATTACATATTTATTATATAGACTTTGACCAATGGGCAGAGATCTCTGTGCCATCTAAAGATGTGACTATTTTTCAAAACCTTTCAGTTTTCACAATTAAATTTCATTTTATCAGAGATAAAAAGAATATGATAATTGGGAAAAGCCATGAAATTAGATTTAACGAAAGTAGATCTGGGCTTAAATAGGAGACAAATTAAAACCTAAATTACATTTAGGCTTGGGTAACAAAATGACAACTCTGCGTGAGAATCTATGCACTGTGAACAAACTAGCAAAGCTTAAAAATTTACATGCGGGCATGTATAAAACTAGTCCAGATCCAATTAAATGGGACATTTGGAGGGCTAAAATATTAACTAAAGTCATACACACTCTATTTAAAACCATGTGAAACTTAAATCAATAATCCTAGAGCTTTAAAAAGGGAAATTGCGTGCATGAACACTCGGTAGCCTTTGTCAATTCAGTGTCTCATGATAACAGATTCAGGTACTTGTGTATTCAGCCTTAAACACAAATGCTTTTGATTATCCAAGGGCCAAGAGACAGCAGGAACAGAAACCACAGAAAACCTCAGGAGAAGGCAGAAGGTCACAGAGAACCCTACTCCTTTCAACTTATCTCACTCTACATTCCTACTTCCCTAGCCATCCCAAACCAGAATGCATCTCTTCACAATCAACAGGTAGATACTTCCATGAACCCGGAAACTGTCTGCAAACCTGCTCCTCACTTGGGCTAGCACTGAGGCACAGCATGAACCGCGCCTGTGAGGCCAGCATCCCATACGGGCACTGGTTCGAGTCCCAGCTGTTCCACTGCTGATCCAGCCTCCAGCTAATGTGCCCAGCAAGGCAGCAGATGTCTCTATAGTCGAGCTCTCCCACCAACACGGAAGACCTCAATGGAATTCCAGGCTCAAGGTTTTGCTCTGGCGAGCCCTAGCAATGGCAATCATTTAGGGAGCGAACCAGTGGATGGAAGAACCCCAGGCCCCCGTCACTCTGTCACTATCTGTACTGTGCCTTTATGTCTTTTAAATAAATAAAACCAAAAAACCATTTTTCAAAACCCAACCATTAAGTGCAAAAAGTTTTTTCATCACTTTGCATCCTATCCAAAACACCCCAGAGAAACATATTTTTACTAGTATTAGTCTGCTTTTTGACTATCAGCACTGCCCCCCCCCCAGCACACACCAAACTGTCGCTCCCCCTCTTCGTGGAGGAACGACACAGAACCCTGCCTAGGCTTCATATCCGAGTCACGGCACCATTATGTCGCTCCCCGTCTTCGTGGGGGAGCGGCACACCGCCGGCCGGCTCTCTCGGGGGCTGCACAGGTGTTCCCTCAGATGTTCCCCTTAGATGTTCCTGGTGCATGCCGTCTCTCTCTTTTATAGTCCTCCTCCGCCAATCCCAACTCGGCTGCCCACACGCCAAGTACGCTGCTCTCCTCCAATCAGGAGCAGGATCAGCTCCTGGAGGTCATCACTCAAGTTGGCAAGAGGCAGCTGCGTAGAAGCTGTTTTCTCCTCTCCCAGCGCCATATTGTGGGAGAGCAGATGCATAGAATAAGTCTTAATTCCAGTAACTCAGTCCAGTCCGGGTTGCTCCCCACACCAAACAGACTGCAGAACAGGCCAGAACCTTGCAGAAGCTGCCAAGCGTCAGGTTGTTTCTGACATATTGTCATACAAACACTGAAGTAAAGACTAAACAGAGCAGTGCCTCCTCACACTGGGCACCAAATGCAGGGGAAAGGGTGCAGATCCACAGCAGTCACAATACAAACTCACAGCCAGATCAAACTTAGTCAAAGAAAAGAAACTCCCAGAGTTGGACCAACTGCCAGCGAGCACACAGACTGAACACGTGGCAGAGGCCCAGACCCCAGCAGGAAGGGCCTTTTTAAATCTTAGGTGGGCTAATGGTGGGTGGTGGGTGGTAGCAGGTGGAGACGAGCATCTCTATGCAGGTTCTTCAAGTTTGGCCTCCTGGCTTCCAAACCTGGGGAGAATGCAGGCGGTGGGGGGTGGAGGGGAGAACAATAGGATGTGAGATGAAACTGGTCTCTTGAAAGAAGGCATGAGTAACCAGGAGTTTTTTAAAATGGCTGAGACATCTGTCCTTGTTCCATCAATCCTGATTTTGAGTATAGATAAGGAAGCGGGGCGCTGGTTTCTTTCTGGCTACTTCCTGCTGATACGGGGTGTAGACGTGGGGCAGGGTATCTATACGCTGGATCAGATTGATTGGAGAAGGAGAGAGCAAGCAGCCTTGTATTGCTCCTGCGTGACGGCTCGAGATACAGCAGTCACAGCCTCCTGTAAGGGCTTCTGAAACATGTACATGTTGTACATGGTAGGAATAGCAGCTAACGATTACGAGGATAAAAAGACAAATCAGAAACATTGCCCATGGTGGGAACGATGCCAAAATGAGGACAATGGGGGATATAGGAAAGAAAGAGTCCTGTCCAGTTAATGCGAAGACAGGTTTATGCCTGACCACTCCATGTGTAGGGTGTCTAACAAGCAGATTAGAAACACAAGGTGCAAGCCACAGGACACAGTCATTGTTACAGGATCTAAGAAAGGAGGGAGTTTTCCTACTGAGATGCAAATGGAAACTGACAGAAGGGGTTCAGTAATAAGCAGGTGTGTTTTAAGGCATGGCCAAGGAATCTGTGAGGTCCAGACCTGCCTGTCTCTTCACATGTAGCCCTGGATGAGACATAGCAAGGGAGATGGGAACCCCCTTGGGGAAGACACCCCGTTGACTTCCATTACCTTGTTGGCCGGGGAGGAGGGCTGGCCTGAATAGGAAGTTAGTATTGAAGAGGTGGCATCTGCCTTGATTGGTGCTGACCCGAGGCTGTCCTCCTGATGGCGGTGGTTACTTTGGGAGCTGGGCAGAGGGAAACGCTTTTTAGCCTGGGGCCAACAGGGTCTGCGGTTCTGACCCAGGAGTCCTTCAACCCCGAGGGCAGTTCCGTTTTCCAGTGGCCTGGCTCTTGTCACAGCCGACAGGGCTCTTCATGACAGCTACTTGCCCAATGCCCTGACCCCTCATTTCCTAAACAGGTGCCATTCAAGGGTGGACTGGCCTGGCTGGGTCTCCTTGATGGCAGATCATGGTGTAAAGTGGCCATTAACTGGCCTGCCACCTAACTTTACATTGCTATTGCTGCCTCACTCGCTCCTCTTTCTCCTGGTCTCTGTTAAAGTAGAACCCAGAAGCAGCCTTTAGGAATGGCAGCCAAGGGGGCGCTCAATCCCGTCGCTAATCTTTGGTGGCCTGAGCTAGCAATCTACGGTCACAGGCATTACGACAATATTCTTCCTGTGAGGTAAGATGATGCCAATGAGGAGAGCTATGTTCTTCTATGTAAGATCAAAACCTTGAGACCACCCTATCGAAACTGTCTAATATAAGGTCTGAAGATCAAACTGTACACCCTGATGGGGAGTCCTGCAGAATAGAATCAGTTCCCCATCTTGAAGAGACTAGAGAAATGAGGGAACAAGTCAGATTTCCAGACTGCTTACTGTCAATAACTTAAAATCCCGTGAAAACTTAGCAAACATTTCAGCTGTCAAATAACTTATGAAAACATTTACCGAAAGGTCCAATGCCTTCAACCAATGTTAAGAGTACATATAGTTGGAAATACTTCTCAAATGTCTAACACAAGTGTAACCCAATTGAAACAGAGAGCTGTTAATAAATTTTCCCATGTGGACATACAATACATGCACACATATGACACAGTACAGGAGAGTGACAGAACAGTTTGTTACTAGCAGAGAGATTTTTGTCTGCCACTAGACAAGGGAGGGGAAAAGATGGAAGGCGACTAGGCATGGAGCATTCTTTGGAACACAGTTGCTCAGGACTCACCCCTGCTCCTCAGTTTTTTTGTTTTTTGTTTTGTTTTGTTTTGATAGCTCTGCGAAACATATTATTAGAGATGGCTGGAAAAGAGGTTCTGTCTTTGTGCAAGAGAGAATTTAGATGTGAGAGCAGCAGTGTGAGATGCAGCTCCATTACATTAAGTTTCAGGATTTTCGGGTTCATAGGAGGAGGGAAGCGACGGGTAGAGAAGACTATTTTAATTAGGACAGAAAGGGGGGGACCGTAAAGAGAGCAGGGGCTTAGCTTGTGGGACAGAGGGTGGCATGTGGGAGTGTGGGTGGTGCTGAAGTCAGGCTTCATTGCATCTGAGCAGCAGGCAGAGTCCTTTCTTAAGCTCTTGTTGGGGGAGGTGCTGAGCACCACATGGACCCTGAGAAGGTGGGCACACGTGAGAAAGGCTCCTAGTTGAAGTTTACAGTGCATTGTCTTTGGAGCTTGGCATGTCTCAGGTGCAGAGCTTTCCAGAGCCAATACACATTCTGCTAGCCTTTACACTATCTTTCTACATCCAGGGGGAGGGACTGGCAGAGGAGACTGGAGAGGAGAGATCAGAAAGAGAGGAAAGAGCCAGTTTTGGCTGCCAGTGACAGGAGTGGGGAAGAGCCAGACAGGGGGAAGGGTAAGGAGAGGGTCATGGTCCAGAGGCTGCAGCATCCCTGAGAGAACAGTGGAAGGGAAAGTCGAGGGTTCTAGGGGAGATTCCAAGTGTTTCTCTGGTTTTTGGTCTTGGAATTAGAAAAGCTGACCTCAGGGGGGCTTAATGAAGGGGAATCAGGTGGGTTGGCCAGACAGGAATCACCAGATGGACGCTTGGGAGGACCCTGGGGTGGGCAGGGAGGAGGGTCACACTCCCGGGCCAGGATCTCAGAGAGGAGGATATGAGGGAGGGACGGAGAGCTTACAGAGAGTTTGATCTCCCTCAGGAAGAGCAGGATAAAGAGAATTCCGGGGAGAAGAGGCTGGAAGGGTGCTAACTTTCCTTGTTGCCAGTGGAGAGGGAAAAGGAGGCACCAGAGAAAGAGGGGGAATGGAGTGAGCAAAGGGTTGTGTTCCTGAAAGGCCAGCTTCTCAGGTGTGGGAGAAAGGAGGGGTGGGCAGGCTGACGATTTAAGGGGTGGCTCCAGGCCTTCTTCCTCCATGAGAAATTAGAGTGAGCAACGTTGACCCCAATGGAGGAAAAGGGCTTGGAATAGGAGCTTCTGACCATTTGCCTTTTCTCTGTGTGAAGTTATTAAAATCTTGGAGAATTTTGAGACAAAAAAAAAAAAAAAAAAACAACACCAAATTCGTGCTGAGGTGGAATAATCGCTTTGGCTTTGTCTCCCCCTTCAGGCCCAGCTTGTGCAAGTCTGCAGAGGCAGGCCAGAGGGGAGCTGAAATTTGGAACCCATGGATTAAGCAAACTACGGTCTGAGGGAAGAGGTTCTTCTAGCAGGGTTTCCCTGGGAAAAAAATCACCTCAACCGAGCACCTAAGTCCTGAGTCCTCTAACAGGAGGCAGCGATAGAAACCAACTAAACACCCAAGCCCTCCGAGGGGGGATGAACTGGTCACGAGCATCGCCCCAGCATGCCTGAGGTGAGAGTGACCTCTCTTACCCATCTGATGGGCTGAGAACTAGGTCCGATGTGGGCATGCAGCGATGAGATCAGGCAAAGGCTCTGGCTGTGAATTCGCTCCAAATGAGAAGTGCAAGAGGGAGTGAGAAAATGTTCTGGAGAGGCGTCTCTCAGGGCCTTCCAGGTCAGAAGGGAAAAAGGAGATTGTAGGAAAGAGAAGGTTAGGGGTGGGTGGAGACACTAAAAAGGGGAAGGATTTGTCCAGATGAAGGGTGGGGGGGTCACAGCTCTCACCCAGAGAATACGAGATCGGCAGATTGGGACAAGATGCTGGCCCTTCCCTCTATTTCTCACACGGGGCACCAAATATAAGCAAAAGGGTGCAGATCAGAGAAAAGACAGAATACGAACTCACAGCCAGACAAAGCTTATCCAAAGAAAACAAATCCGCAGAGATGGGTGACCAACAGCTAGCACACAAGCACAAGCGCGCGCACACACACACACACACACACACACACACACAATACACAGCAGAGTGCCCAGACCCCAATAGGCTGGACCTTTTTATATCTTAGGTGCACTAGGGGTGGGGGGGGCAGTAAACAGAGGTAACCTTCTCCATACAAGTTTTTTCAAGTTTTGGCCCCCTGGCTTCCAAACATGGGGAATAATGCAGGGGGTGGGGTGGAGAACACCACATTGAGAGACTCAATTGGTCCCTTGAGAGAAGGTAAGGGTCACAGAAACCTAAAGTGGCTGAGGCGCCTGTCCTTGTTCCATCACTACGTACCTATGTCAAATATACACACACTGAATGTCTTGCTAACAGCAGGTAGAACCGTCTCTGCTGTCAAGCGTTAGTTCTACTGCTGGGCATTAGATGGCTGGGCCCCAGGGTGTTAACTCGACTACTTAATGTATATGCAAATCACACTACTTGTGGGTCTAGGGAGATGATGGTGAGGAAACTAAGGTAGGAATTCAAGCCAGGTATACCACATATGTGGAAGTGATCCAACCTCACCCAGCATATGGGAGTGGAACCAGATCTTGCAAAATAGGCATTCCAATATTCCAAGATTGGGTGTCAGTGTCCCAAATAATGACAAATGACTGCTCCTTGACACTGCACATCCAGTTGAGTAAGAGTATATCTAATAATTTATGGCATTAATGACCAAGCATTTAACTAACTGCTTTAAAAGTATTATATATACAGGATGTCAGTCAAATCTGTAACACTCCCAAGAAAACATATACAAAAACGCAGGAGTGTGCCCAGTGTCGTCCAAGTAGAGGTACTCAAACTTAAACCTAACTAAAAGATTACATCACATATTAGTTAAGGGTAAAGGTAAGTATTACTATTCCCTGAACACTAAAAGTACTCCTGGTCAGTCCTCTCAGACTGACACTGTCAACATCAACCTTCTGCTGAATCCACTATGTAAATACTAAATACAAGTGTATAAAACAAGTTTTATAAAGTGATCTGGAAAGGTTTTATACAACCCTAGTACTTCATGGCATAAAAATTTCCTCCTGGGGAAAAGTAGCAATTGACTCAATGACCGGATTTGATGTAATTTGATTTTTCCTCCATTCCCTGTATTGTCCAAGTCTTCTATAATGAATGTGCACTTACAAAGAATAAAATTAAAACGAGCTGCACCCTATAACTCAAGGTCCCATCAATCCCGACCTTGCTTTGCATAAATAGAGTAGAGCAGAAATGAGGCACATGAAACTTTTTTTTATAGAACCACAAGGGAGTGGCTGATCTAGATAGTATACTCCAGCACTGTACTGGCCCAGCAGGTGGCCACTACCAATCCTGGGTGACATGCTGGACACACTACACGTGACTAGTCCAAGCTGAAATGGGCTGTAAATGCAAAATATACATTGGATTTTAAACACTTTGGTCCAAAAACACTAAAGAAATCTCTTAACAGTTTTCAGCATATCAATTAAATGTTGAAATGATAGTACTTTGGGTATATTAGGCTAAAAAAACACTGAGGTTGATTTCACATCATTGTCAAATGAGGCTACCAGAAATGAACTCACAGTTTACACTAATTCGTATATTCAAACGAAGCCAGCAGCATGGCCGTCACCTGGGATCTTGTTCAAAGGCAGAGTTTTGGGCCCCAGCCCTGGAGTGCTAAGCAGAATATGCATGTTAACAAGACCCTCAGTTGATCAACATACACACTGAATACTGAGATGCACAGTTAAAGAAAACTTGTATTTTCCCTAAGCGTGACAATCTCACTTTTCTTCAATTTACCCAATCATTAAAATGCTACAAGGCTTTTGTGACAATTCTAGACAACAAGAACCTAAGGTGCATAAAAAATGCAAAAGCGTATTTCACTACCTGTTTTGGTGGTTTCTATTCCACAGAAGATAACAAATTGAAAAATAACAATCCAGTTCTACTATGAACGCTTGTTTTTAAAAATGCAAATTTGCGCAAAAACAACTGATGCATCATGGACTTTCAAACCAACCTATTAATGCACCAAGAACATATCATAGTGTCTGTGCAAAACTGCCAGTGTCAATAGAAAAAAAGACTGAAAATCAATTAAAATACCATAGAGTGTCTATGGAGCCACAAGATGTTAGGAAAATCTAAAGGTGTCCACTTAATAATTTCACCAAAATAAGGAACTTAAAGAATACTAAAAAAATACAAGAAACATTTCAATTTAAAATGTAGGACGAATAGAAAAAAACAGCATATGACAAAAGTAGTGTAAACTTAGTGCACAAGAATACTGTGCTGATACAAACAATGAACTCATTTAGAGGAAGCACTGTTCTGGTCTCCAAAGTCCTTTCCTGTATGCCACTGCACCTGTTGATTCTACAGAGATGCATTACTCAAAACTAAAGCAAGCAGTTGCTCACGTCCCCATGCTTCTGACTGATTATAATTTAATAAAATTCTGACTGATTATAATTTAATAAAAGGAAATGCGCCCACAGGAAACTGAAAAAGAATTGATTCTCTCTGCTCCACACTCCCACTTAGTTATCCGCCACCCAAGAAAATTTATACAGAGAATCCATACTTATTCACAAGACTATACCAAAAACATCGTTTTGTGTGATTCACCTGCAAAAATGTGAATTTCTGAAGAGCTACTAGTGGAAGTGGGGTACTTAGGCCCTCAAAGATTTGATGAATAAACGATAACGAGCCTGTGAGTTCACACAATGAAAGAAAGCTTTATCTGATTAAATTCAGTGTAGGAAGTGCTGGTTTCCTTTTTTTAAATGAAATAAAAAATACAGCTAGTTTGAAGAATAGCTTGATGGTAAATCAGATTTTTTAAAATTTTTCAAATGCTGTTTGTATATCCTCTGTGTTTCTCCCCCATTTTTCACTGTCAAGAAGTAAGGTATAGACAAAGGGATCTGTAAGTTACATATAGGCCTTAATACTAAAGGTATACAAATACTAACACACTTTGAAAAAATAACCTCATTTCCAAGAAAATACAGAACAGATCCAACATGGCTGAATAGGGTATAGCAACAATAATATGTTGCACGTTGCGGCCATCTGGGGAGTGAACCAGGGAAAGGAAGACCTTTCTCTCTGTCTCTCCCTCTCACTGTCTGTAACTCTACCTCTCAAATAAGTAAAATCTTGAAAGAAAATTCATGTGGAATCACAAAAGGCCACAAACAGTTGGAGTGATCTGGAACAAGAAAACCCAACCTGGATGAATCATAATGCTCGATTTCAAAGTATTCTACAAAGTTACAGTAATTAACACAGCTTAGTAATGGCATAAAATCCAACACGTAGCTCAATGGGACAGACGAGAGAGCCCAGAATTTAATCTGCATACAGATAGCCAGCTGACTTCTGACAAAAGTGCTCAGACCACACAGTGGCGTTAAGGATAATATTTTCAAAATGGCGCTGGCAAAACTGAATGCATATACGTAGAAGAACCAAAGTAGATCCATATCTCTCTTCACATACAAAAATCAACTGAAGATACATCAAGGACCCAATTTAAGACCTGACATTATGGACATTATGAGGCTGCTAGAAGAAAACGTGGGGAAACACTCAAAGACGATGGTGTGGGAACAACTTCTTGGATGGGAACCCCCGAAGCACAGGCAGCAAAAGCAAAACTAAGGAAACAGGACTATATCAAACTCAGAAACAAAGCACATGACAATTAGAGTGGAGAGACGTACAGCAGAACGGAAAAAATAGTTGCAGGGGATTAATATCCCAAATACACATGCAACTTAAAAAGTCAACAACAACAAAATCAATCCAGTTCGGAAATGGAAAAGGACTTCAAGAGACAATTCTCAGAAAGAAGAAATACAAATACAAATGGCAAACAACCATATGAAAAAATGCTCAACATCTCCAGGCTTCAGGGAAACTCAAATCAAAACCACAATGAGGTATCTCCTTACCCCTATTAGAATGGCTGAAATCCAAACAACAGAGGAACAAGTGCTGGCATGGATGTGGGGAAAGGGGAACACTTAGACGCTGCTGGGAGGAATCTCAGGGAATCGAACAGAAAGAAATGTTTGTGTGTATCAGTACTGATGCGAATACAGTTTGTAAAACTTTGTTTTATGCCTTTGTGAAACCGATGGTTAAAAATGTTATCCTACCACAGTTTCAATGATCTACAGCTACTTAAAGATTTACCACAGAGGGATGAAACGCTCATTTCTCCGTTCAATTACTGTTTACACTCGGTGTCTATAGTCTCACTAAACTGGTATAATTTTGTTTTTTACTCGCTAAACTTATCTAGTGAAGTATTAAGCCTTTTTACTGTAATGTAATTTGAAAATGGCTCAAAATCTAAACCAAAGACAGAAAGAAAAAGAAGAAGGAAACACAGTGGAAAGGAGAAAGGGGGAGGGAGGAAGGCAATATCATGGTGTTCTTACAGCTGTGTCTACAAAACACACTGAGTCTGCTAAACACTAATTAAAAGAAAAAAAGTAAAGACATACAAAGAAAACCGACGCACATCCATTTGTTCCCCACATCACCGCTTACCCATTTGCCAAACAAACTGCAAAAACGCAGTACAGAACTAAGAAAATAAGGTACATTCAATAAGTAAGAATTATTGAAATGTATTAACTATAAACAGGATATGGTAAAAAAAAAAGCTACATCACGAAGCTCCACAGAGTACCAAAGTATTTACATAAAATGTGTGTACACATGAAAAAGGTAAAGAGTATATGCAGAGAAATAAATATATGAAGGAAATGAAATTAAAACACATTGTAAGTTCTTAATTTCCTTTTTTAAACTGTTGCTAAACTGTCATGGTTTTTCGAATTCAGAGGGACAAGGATTTGAAATCTTGGTTACCAAGCCAATTAAGGTCACCTGCATCCCAACCCTGAAGAACCCGGGTTCAGTATCCACCTCCGGCTCCTGACTCTAGCTTCCTGTTAAGGTGGATGGGGAAGGCAATTGTGATGGCTCAAGAAATCGGGGAGCTGTTTCTGGCTCCTGCGTCTACCTTCCTGTAATGTGGACCTGGAGGGCAGTGGATAGGACTCAGGCATTTGGGTACCCGTCACCCTTGCTGGGAACACGGAATGAGTTCTCCAGTCCTCAACTCAGCCAGGCTCAGGCCCAGTAGTTGTGGGAATTGGGAAGTCAACCAGCAGATGAGAATCCTCTTTATGGCTGTTTCTTGCCGTGTGTGTGTGTGTGTGTGTGTGCGTGTGTGCGTGTGTGCATGTACATGCATGGGTATGAATATCTGCCTCTGAAATAAATCTTAAGAATACATAGAAACCACCCACTTTGGAAGAATTTTAACTTTAGTTGGTTAAGAGGCAAAGAGATGGAGCTCTCCCATTTACCCCCACTCCTTAAATGCCTGCAGCAGCTAGGACTGGGTCAGGCTAAAGTTAAGAGCCAGGAACTCAGTCTCCCATGGGGCTGACAAGTACCCAGACACTTGCCATCACCTGCTATCTCCCCAGGACACACCTCAGCAGGAAAGCTGGAATTGGAAACGATCCAGAGTTCCAATCCAGACGCTGGAACACAGGCCACAGACACCCCAAGCAGAAACTGAACTCCCACATCAAACGTGCGCCCCCAAGCATCTGACAAATGACGCCCACAGGCTGTGAGCCTAAAGCCAGGGCAAGGGGCACTCTCCAAGCTAGAGAAAACCCCCTCGCAACTGCCTGCCTAGCTTCCTTCCCCTTCATTTAGTAGATTACGACTGCTGTGACGTGTCCGGACCCAACCTGTTAATCCGTACTGCCACCTGATGCCCACGCCACGGCCAACTCAAGCCGCCACCGCGCCCTCTCTCTCTTCTGCTGCCCAACGCAGAGCCACAGCCGCCTGCTTCACTGCCGCCCCAGCGTCACTGAGGCCCCGCCGCCTTCGCCGCGGCTGCCCATCACGTCAGCACCGCCCCCCTACCTGCTGCTTCCTTCCCGGCCGCCCGACGCTGCTGACCCCGGACTCTGCACCAGAGCCGCCCCGCGGTATCTTTCCGCTCCGCCCCGCCCGCCACCGACCTGCGCCATCCAGAGCACCACGTCCCACGGGACGCCCACACGACAGCAGCCGCTTCCTGGCTTCCTGGTTCACTGCCGCTGCAGCCGTTGCCAGCGAACACTGAGGCTTCCGGCCTAGGAAGTCCCAGGCTTCAGTTAGGCCGAGGCACAGCCGCACTTCCCCGCCCAGGACGTCCGACCCGGAGCCGCCACCGCCGCCTCTATCCCGCCACGCCTCACCGCCGCCTCTATCCCCGCCACCCCTCACCGCCGCTGCCGCCGCCTCCTTCGCCGCACTTCCCAGGGCTACACTCACACCGTCCCCACCTACCTCTGCTTCCTCGCAGACCTCCGACTTCTCAGACCGCCGCCGCCACTTCCTTCCTCACCGCTGCCGCCGATGAACTTAGCTGCCACGCCCACGACGTCGAACGCGACCCCGACGCTACGCACGCTGGCGCCGACGCTGACGCCGACGCTACGCACGCTGACGCCGACGCCGACGCTGACGCCGACGCCGTACAGGACGCTTTGACGCTGACGCTCACTGACACTGCATCTGTGACAGCGTCTGCGTTGTAACGTCGTGTATGGCGTCGGTGTCGGCGTCGGCGCCAGCGTGCGTAGCGTCGGGGTCGCGTTCGACGTCGTGGGCGTGGCAGCTAAGTTCATCGGCGGCAGCGGTGAGGAAGGAAGTGGCGGCGGCGGTCTGAGAGTCGGAGGTCTGCGAGGAAGCAGAGGTAGGTGGGGACGGTGTGAGTGTAGCCCTGGGAAGTGCGGCGAAGGAGGCGGCGGTGCGGGGTGGCAGGGATAGAGGCGGCAGTCTTTCCGCGCCGCCGCCGCGCCCGCCACCGACCTGCGCCATCCAGAGTACCATGTCCCACGGGACGCCCACACGACAGCCACTGCTTCCTGGCCTCCTGGTTCACCGCTTCCAGCGAACACTGAGGCTTCCGGCCTAGGAAGTCCAGGCTTCAGTGAGGCCGAGGCACAGCCGCACTTCCCAACCCAAGATGCCCGCACGGAGCAGCCACTGCCGCCTCTATCCCTGCCACCCCGCACCGCCGCCTCCTTCGCCGCACTTCCCAGGGCTACACTCACGTCCCCACCTACCTCTGCTTCCTCGAGACCTCCGACTTCTCAGACCGCCGCCGCCACTTCCTTCCTCACCGCTGCCGCCGATGAACTTAGCTGCCACGCCCACGACGTCGAACGCGACCCCGACGCTACGCACGCTGGCGCCGACGCTGACGCCGACGCTACGCACTGACGCCGACGCCGACGCTGACGCCGACGCCGTACAGGACGCTTTGACGCTGACCTCACTGACACTGCATCTGTGACAGCGTCTGCGTTGTAACGTCGTGTACGGCGTCGGTGTCGGCGTCGGCGTCAGCGTGCGTAGCGTTGGGGTCGCGTTCGACGTCGTGGGCGGGGCAGCTAAGTTCATCGGCGGCAGCAGTGAGGAAGGAAGTAGCGGCGGCGGTCTGAGAAGTCGGGGGCCGGCGACGAAGCAGAGGTAGGTGGGGACGGCGTGAGTGTAGCCCTGGGAAGTGCGGCGAAGGAGGCGGCGGCAGCGGCGGTGCGGGGTGGCGGGGATAGAGGCGGCGGTGCGGGGTGGCGGGGATAGAGGCGGCGGTGGCGGCTCCGTGTCGGACGTCCTGGGTGGGAAGTGCGGCTGTGCCTCAGCCTCACTGAAGCCTGGGACTTCCTAGGCGGGAAGACTCAGGCTTCGCTGGCGGCGGCAGCAGCCGCGGTGAACCAGGAGGCCAGGAAGCGGCTGCTGTCGTGTGGGCGTCCCGTGGGACGTGGTGCTCTGGACGGCGCAGGTCGGTGGGGGGCAGCGGCGGCGGCACGGAAAGACGCGGTGGGGCCGCTCTGGTGCAGAGTCCGGGGGTCAGCAGCGTCGGGCGGCCGGGAAGGAAGCAGCAGGTAGGGGCGGCGGTGCTGACGTGATGGGCAGCCGCGGCGAAGGCGGCGGGGCCTCAGTGACGCTGGGGCGGGCAGTGAAGCAGGCGGCTGTGGCTCTGCGTTGGGCAGCAGAAGAGAGAGAGGGCGCGGTGGCGGCTTGAGTTGGCCGTGGCGTGGGCATCAGGTGGGCAGTACGGATTAACAGGTTGGGTCCGGACACGTCACAGCAGTCGTAATCTACTAAATGAAGGGGAAGGAAGCTAGGCAGGCAGTTGCGAGGGGGTTTTCTCTAGCTTGGAGAGTGCCCCTTGCCCTGGCTTTAGGCTCACAGCCTGTGGGCGTCATTTGTCAGATGCTTGGGGGCGCACGTTTGATGTGGGAGTTCAGTTTCTGCTTGGGGTGTCTGTGGCCTGTGTTCCAGCGTCTGGATTGGAACTCTGGATCGTTTCCAATTCCAGCTTTCCTGCTGAGGTGTGTCCTGGGGAGATAGCAGGTGATGGCAAGTGTCTGGGTACTTGTCAGCCCCATGGGAGACTGAGTTCCTGGCTCTTAACTTTAGCCTGACCCAGTCCTAGCTGCTGCAGGCATTTAAGGAGTGGGGGAGTAAATGGGAGAGCTCCATCTCTTTGCCTCTTAACCAACTAAAGTTAAAATTCTTCCAAAGTGGGTGGTTTCTATGTATTCTTAAGATTTATTTCAGAGGCAGATATTCATACCCATGCATGTACATGCACACACGCACACACGCACACACACACACACACACACACGGCAAGAAACAGCCATAAAGAGGATTCTCATCTGCTGGTTGACTTCCCAATTCCCACAACTACTGGGCCTGAGCCTGGCTGAGTTGAGGACTGGAGAACTCATTCCGTGTTCCCAGCAAGGGTGACGGGTACCCAAATGCCTGAGTCCTATCCACTGCCCTCCAGGTCCACATTACAGGAAGGTAGACGCAGGAGCCAGAAACAGCTCCCCGATTTCTTGAGCCATCACAATTGCCTTCCCCATCCACCTTAACAGGAAGCTAGAGTCAGGAGCCGGAGGTGGATACTGAACCCGGGTTCTTCAGGGTTGGGATGCAGGTGACCTTAATTGGCTTGGTAACCAAGATTTCAAATCCTTGTCCCTCTGAATTCGAAAAACCATGACAGTTTAGCAACAGTTTAAAAAAGGAAATTAAGAACTTACAATGTGTTTAATTTCATTTCCTTCATATATTTATTTCTCTGCATATACTCTTTACCTTTTTCATGTGTACACACATTTTATGTAAATACTTTGGTACTCTGTGGAGCTTCGTGATGTAGCTTTTTTTTTTACCATATCCTGTTTATAGTTAATACATTTCAATAATTCTTACTTATTGAATGTACCTTATTTTCTTAGTTCTGTACTGCGTTTTTGCAGTTTGTTTGGCAAATGGGTAAGCGGTGATGTGGGGAACAAATGGATGTGCGTCGGTTTTCTTTGTATGTCTTTACTTTTTTTCTTTTAATTAGTGTTTAGCAGACTCAGTGTGTTTTGTAGACACAGCTGTAAGAACACCATGATATTGCCTTCCTCCCTCCCCCTTTCTCCTTTCCACTGTGTTTCCTTCTTCTTTTTCTTTCTGTCTTTGGTTTAGATTTTGAGCCATTTTCAAATTACATTACAGTAAAAAGGCTTAATACTTCACTAGATAAGTTTAGCGAGTAAAAAACAAAATTATACCAGTTTAGTGAGACTATAGACACCGAGTGTAAACAGTAATTGAACGGAGAAATGAGCGTTCATCCCTCTGTGGTAAATCTTTAAGTAGCTGTAGATCATTGAAACTGTGGTAGGATAACATTTTTAACCATCGGTTTCACAAAGGCATAAAACAAAGTTTTACAAACTGTATTCGCATCAGTACTGATACACACAAACATTTCTTTCTGTTCGATTCCCTGAGATTCCTCCCAGCAGCGTCTAAGTGTTCCCCTTTCCCCACATCCATGCCAGCACTTGTTCCTCTGTTGTTTGGATTTCAGCCATTCTAATAGGGGTAAGGAGATACCTCATTGTGGTTTTGATTTGAGTTTCCCTGAAGCCTGGAGATGTTGAGCATTTTTTCATATGGTTGTTTGCCATTTGTATTTGTATTTCTTCTTTCTGAGAATTGTCTCTTGAAGTCCTTTTCCATTTCCGAACTGGATTGATTTTGTTGTTGTTGACTTTTTAAGTTGCATGTGTATTTGGGATATTAATCCCCTGCAACTATTTTTCCGTTCTGCTGTACGTCTCTCCACTCTAATTGTCATGTGCTTTGTTTCTGAGTTTGATATAGTCCTGTTTCCTTAGTTTTGCTTTTGCTGCCTGTGCTTCGGGGGTTCCCATCCAAGAAGTTGTTCCCACACCATCGTCTTTGAGTGTTTCCCCACGTTTTCTTCTAGCAGCCTCATAATGTCCATAATGTCAGGTCTTAAATTGGGTCCTTGATGTATCTTCAGTTGATTTTTGTATGTGAAGAGAGATATGGATCTACTTTGGTTCTTCTACGTATATGCATTCAGTTTTGCCAGCGCCATTTTGAAAATATTATCCTTAACGCCACTGTGTGGTCTGAGCACTTTTGTCAGAAGTCAGCTGGCTATCTGTATGCAGATTAAATTCTGGGCTCTCTCGTCTGTCCCATTGAGCTACGTTGGATTTTATGCCATTACTAAGCTGTGTTAATTACTGTAACTTTGTAGAATACTTTGAAATCGAGCATTATGATTCATCCAGGTTGGGTTTTCTTGTTCCAGATCACTCCAACTGTTTGTGGCCTTTTGTGATTCCACATGAATTTTCTTTCAAGATTTTACTTATTTGAGAGGTAGAGTTACAGACAGTGAGAGGGAGAGACAGCGAGAAAGGTCTTCCTTTCCCTGGTTCACTCCCCAGATGGCCGCAACGTGCAACATATTATTGTTGCTATACCCTATTCAGCCATGTTGGATCTGTTCTGTATTTTCTTGGAAATGAGGTTATTTTTTCAAAGTGTGTTAGTATTTGTATACCTTTAGTATTAAGGCCTATATGTAACTTACAGATCCCTTTGTCTATACCTTACTTCTTGACAGTGAAAAATGGGGGAGAAACACAGAGGATATACAAACAGCATTTGAAAAATTTTAAAAAATCTGATTTACCATCAAGCTATTCTTCAAACTAGCTGTTTTTTATTTCATTTAAAAAAAGGAAACCAGCACTTCCTACACTGAATTTAATCAGATAAAGCTTTCTTTCATGTGTGAACTCACAGGCTCGTTATCGTTTATTCATCAAATCTTTGAGGGCCTAAGTACCCCACTTCCACTAGTAGCTCTTCAGAAATTCACATTTTTGCAGGTGAATCACACAAAACGATGTTTTTGGTATAGTCTTGTGAATAAGTATGGATTCTCTGTATAAATTTTCTTGGGTGGCGGATAACTAAGTGGGAGTGTGGAGCAGAGAGAATCAATTCTTTTTCAGTTTCCTGTGGGCGCATTTCCTTTTATTAAATTATAATCAGTCAGAATTTTATTAAATTATAATCAGTCAGAAGCATGGGGACGTGAGCAACTGCTTGCTTTAGTTTTGAGTAATGCATCTCTGTAGAATCAACAGGTGCAGTGGCATACAGGAAAGGACTTTGGAGACCAGAACAGTGCTTCCTCTAAATGAGTTCATTGTTTGTATCAGCACAGTATTCTTGTGCACTAAGTTTACACTACTTTTGTCATATGCTGTTTTTTTCTATTCGTCCTACATTTTAAATTGAAATGTTTCTTGTATT